TAAAAAAATGAATTAATATTTTATGATTTAAAAAAAATTATAAGATTAAATGTTTTTATTTTATAAATATATTATATCTACTTTTATTGACATATTTTAAGAATAGTAATTGTTGGTTATTTAATTCATAAAAATACCAATTATATACTTTAGTATATATATATATATATATATAAAACTCTTGTATAAAATATATATATATATATATATATATATATATATATATAAAACTGAACGTAAAAATAACTTTTATATATATATATATATATATATATATATATATATATATATATATAAAACTGAAATAAAAATAACTTTTATATATATATATATATATATGAACTGAAAAATAACTGTTTTATATATATATAAAACTGAACCTAAAATAACTGTTTGAGATATATATATATATGCAAAACTGAACCTAAAAATAACTGTTATGTATAGTACTGTCGACAAACACATTCTTTTTTTCTGCCATCTTCAACACCAAAACATTTCCGAAAATTTTATTAACAAACTCCTAATGTATTTCAATTTTTGGAAAATTAAATACAAACAGATATTTTATCTCCAGTAATTTTATATATCTTTCATATATACAAGTATGACTGTTGTCATGTCTAAATTATTTCCTTCAATTCTCCCCTTACCACTTGATACGGAATGATGTTTATTTGTTGAGGCACGTATATTTTAAAACTTTTTTCCTCGAGATGGGATTATTTTCTGATATATATTCTTTAAGATCCTTATCTTTATTTATTTTTTCATATTCTTCAACAGAAATATTTTTATCTGATATCAATATCATATTTTGAGAAGGCATTTTCTTTTTGTTTCTAGTTTTAACCACTATGCCTGATCGATTAACTTGTATATGTCTGTCAGTATAAATGGTAAATAAATACCATATTCAAAATCTATAACTTGTTTAAGATGATATTCATACGTTTTTGTTTGGTTTTATCATTTGGCGTACTTAGGATGTCTGATCAAAAAGTATAAGGACTGGTACTATAAAAAGAAAACTATAACAAATAATAATTCGGCATTTAATCTCCTGCCAAATCACCTTCCAAAGGCGGACACTTTATCCAATGTCGTTTCCATTCCTGGAACTTCATTTTTCGAGGTCTTGAAATATCATTCTTTTAAAGTGGAATTGGGGCGAGTCTGAGAAATATGATGGTTTTCATACCTGAGGAATGTTATCCTTGGCCAAAAACTGCCGCAAAAGCCACTGTCACTGATGGAACCTCTCTGATGTGGTGAGACGACCACACTCTACACACTTTCCTTCCAGACACTGCTATAATAAACGAAAGTAAGGGAGAACGTTATATGCGCAACAGAGTTCAAGGTCAGTCTATGCCCAGCGGCTTTATTCTGAGTATTTTAGTTCCGTTAACAAAGAAAAAATCCCAAAACAATATATTATCACACATTGTATATTCCATTGAATAGACTGCCTAGTCGTATCGTCGAGCTTTGTGTTCCTACTGTGACAGAATTGGGTAATCGAACACTAAGTATACAATAGTCTCAACTTTTTCCCATGAGATATGTAGTTGAATATGCACTAATTGTATTAAGCTTACCTGGCAGTTCCTGATAAATAAGCTTTTGGTCTTGTGTAGCCAATATAAATGCTTCTGTTTCTTCTTTTCGTCTTACACTTTTCAGCCACTAATGGATATTGTGTCCTTCTGCATCGAAATCGTTACTTCTAAGTTCATATTAGCCATGTAGGAATTTTATTCTCAGGTTTTACCATTATTACTATGCTCACCATGTATTATCTCCTGATTATGATGGGGAACCATTCAAAGAATTCTTCTCAAATGCGTCTCGTGTTCCTGTTGATCTCACAGTTCTCTTGTCCGAATCGTTTCTTAAATAGCGAAGTCGTTGTTCTCCTACAAGATTTTTCAAGATTGCCCCCGATACGATAAAACTGATGATCAATGTTATTTTTAAAATTCTTTTGTTATTTCAATACTTGATAAACTTGATTTTTTTTTTTTCAATTTTTCATACTACTCTATTTCTGTCTTGTGGGTTATTAGGATAACTATTTGTGTTTCCTTGTGAAAAAAAAATGAAATCCGTTTATCGGAATGATATTATTACTCATTCAACCATACCGTGAAAATTGACCAAAATTAACCGTAACATAAAAAATAGAAAAGAAAATATGCCGGAATTAACGATTGGGAGAAAAGAAAATGGCCGAAATGAAGAGGACTCTCAAAAATGGTAGAATTTAACCGTAATTTCGAAATAAAAATGTTCTAATTAACCCTAATGTCAAAAAAAATTTGGAAATTAAACAAGCGGTAGAAAAAATCGCAAAAATCAACTGTCAAATATCAGGGAAATATTTAAGTAATTTTAAAATTGTAGTCGTTATATTGTTGTATATGCTATCGAAGAATCGTCCATTTACACACACACACACACACACACACACACACACATATATATATATATATATATATATATATATATTATTTTATATATCAACAAAAGGTATTTAGAAAAAATATGAAAAGCTGGAAAGGTTGTTTTGTGGAAAGAAAAAGAAAAAGACAGACGAATTTGGCTAGACTGAGAAAAAGAATTTTTTTCAAAAAGTTTGAGACATGCATGCCCATGTGCAGACAGACTGGGCAATGTTAACACAGCCCAGACGGATAAAACGCGGCCCAAAAAACACTTTCTAGTTTGTCATATATATATATATATATATATATGCACACACGCGCGCGCGCACGCACACACACATACACATATATATATATATACTGTCGTATTTTATAAAAATTTATATATTTATTTACATATTTAAAAGTAAAATACCCAATACGAAGGACAAAAACAACATTTTAACCATTATGATTTCTTTTCTTTGTTGATGAGATATTTAATTTCTAGTGTCACTTAATATAGCCTCTTATCCTAACGTTGAATATTCCATCACAAAACATGGAAAATCAGGTTGTCTGACTGGAAAAACTATGATATTTAGATGTTATATTTTACATAATAGATTATATATGCGTTTTGTATTTTGTCATCAGCAGTATCTCTGTTTTTACTGGTAATAATGTACTAGCATATATCTACTCTAATACGCAACTGTTTTTAAAAATTCTCGATTTTCAATAATATAGTTTGAAAAGTTGAGATTCTTCTTTGGCTTTCTAGTTCGTACAAACTTTTTTGCTATTATCTTTCAGTCTGAACCAAGTGCTCCAAGAGTTAAGAGTATGACTGTCAACTTCACTTCCTACAATTGATTCAATATATTTTTCGTCGTTCATCCTCTTTTCGGCTGTTCTCTATGATCTGCCGAAAGATCGAAATCCATCATCTGGTATTATTTTTTTCCCCTTGTTTAAATTCACTGGATCTGGTTTTCTGGCCTGGTTTTAGTGAATCTCTTTAATCTCAGTTTCCTTGGAATGTTTATCTTCGATTTTACCCCCTAAGAAAACAATCTTCTTTTATATATATATATATATATATATATATATATATATATCTGTTTTTGTATGATAAAATCCTAAGCCAATTGCTCGGTTCTCGTTGAATAATTCACCCTCTCTACCCAGTCATGTTTTTTGTACTCCGTCTGTAGGCAGGCCTTTGCTTTTTTTTTTATTATATATTATTGAGTGCTTCATCCCAACAATCTTATTGTGCTTTGAGTAGTTTCGTTGGTTGATAGACCGTCGTTGGTTTATTTTAAGTCGAAGGTTGTATTGGACACCCACTAAAGATCAATCACAATATACAGTAGTAATTGTTGACCAGCATCGCCACAGTAGTCAAAACCCCACGCAAGACTCCTGCGAACTGTTTCTTTCGATGCTTCTTACTAGGAACTTGACCAAGTAGAAATTATTGAGTAGAGATGATTTTTATTTATTTTCATAATTGAGGTCAAACAAATTAACATCAAGAAATATTAGCCCACGCTGAAGTGATCTACGTTAGGGTTTTTTTTTTTTTTTTTTTTTTTGTCACTGAGTGTCCACACAAGAGTTTAGTCGTGCTTTAAAAGTTTGTATTAAGTGACAGTAAGTCCCCTCGATAGTCTAACATATTTAGTTTTCAGGAACGTTGTTGTCTGGATATTTCTCTCAATTCTGGTTACGCCATCTTTTTTTTTCCTGAGACTCTACAGATCACTTCAAATTCCTCTGATGACGAATTAACTTTTTACAATTTTCTATCTTACCTAGATGCTTAATTCTCTTTCTTTTCAATTTCTCAAAGCTGATCTCCATCATGGGCAAGAACATTGAAATTCACATTCTGTTATTCTTTCTTTCTTTTTTTTTTTTTGATTACGGTAAATAAATATCTTTTCTTTTTTTTATTTTTCTTCTAATTCTTCTACATTTTTCTACTACTACTTCTACTGTTTCTTCTTCTATTTCCTCTTCCACTGTTTCTTCTTCTCTTTCATCTTCTACTGTTCCATCTTCTTCTGTTTCATCTTGTTTCATCTTCTATTTTTTCATCTTCTACTGTTTCTTCTTCTCTTTCATCTTCTTCTGTTTTTTCTTGTTTCATCTTCTATTGTTTTATCTTCCACTGTTTCTTCTTCTGTTTCATCTTCTACTGTTTCTTCTTGTTTCATCTTCTACTGTTTTTTCTTGTTTCATCTTCTACTGTTTTTTCTTGTTTCATCTTCTACTGTTTCTTCTTGTTTCATCTTCTACTGTTTCTTCTTGTTTCATCTTCTACTGTTTCTTCTTGTTTCATCTTCTACTGTTTTTTCTTGTTTCATCTTCTACTGTTTCTTCTTGTTTCATCTTCTACTGTTTTTTCTTGTTTCATCTTCTACTGTTTCTTCTTGTTTCATCTTCTACTGTTTCTTCTTGTTTCATCTTCTACTGTTTCTTCTTGTTTCATCTTCTACTGTTTTTTCTTGTTTCATCTTTCTGTTTTTTCTTGTTTTTATCTTCCACTGTTTCTTCTTCTGTTTCATGTTTTTTCTTGTTTCTTCTTCTGTTTTTCTTGTTTCATATTCTACTGTTTCTTCTTGTTTCATATTCTACTGTTTCTTCTTGTTTCATCTTCTACTGTTTCTTCTTGTTTCATCTTCTACTGTTTTTTCTTGTTTCATCTTCTACTGTTTTTTCTTGTTTTATCTTCCACTGTTTCTTCTTCTGTTTCATCTTCTACTGTTTCTTCTTGTTTCATCTTCTACTGTTTCTTCTTGTTTCATCTTCTACTGTTTCTTCTTGTTTCATCTTCTACTGTTTCTTCTTGTTTCATCTTCTACTGTTTCTTCTTGTTTCATCTTCTACTGTTTCTTCTTCTCTTTCATCTTCTTCTGTTTTTTCTTGTTTCATCTTCTATTGTTTTATCTTCCACCGTTTCTTCTTCTGTTTCATCTTCCGTTTCATCTTCTACTGTTTTTTTTTCCTTTTTTTTACTGTTTTTTTTAATTTTATTCTCTTTCTCAGATTTTCTTTTTTTTCGTTCTTCTTTTTTTTTCTCTTATAATTTTTCTTAATTTTCTTTTCAACATTTTTGTCCTATTTAATATCCATTTTTATTCCTTTCCATTTTTTCTTCTTTTTTTCTTCTGTTTCTTTTCCTTCTCTTTCATAAAAATAGGAAAATAAATATTTCATGAATTTATCTTACAATCACGGATCCCATTAGTTTTACCATCGTTTTTTTTTTTTTCTTTCTCACACCTATTCTTTTTCCTCCTACCTCACTTTCTCTCTTTTCTAGTGCCTCTTTTTCCCCCGGCATGACTACCTCAATTTCAGGTAATTATTTTCCCATTCTGTCTTTTAGATATTGTTCACGATATCGTCGTTTGAAAATAACAGTTCTCTCCAGGGGCGTAACAAACAAAACATAATCAGCAACATTAAAATAAAATATAATCAGTGGATCACGGTAGTGATGGCATCAGGTGGGAAAGCGTAGGGATGTTGATGAAGAAATCGTCAGGGTATTCAGAGAAGCCGAACTGGGATATTTATACTGAAAATATAATAGTTTGCAGCGGCAAATTATCCACAGCATAGATAATTTGACTCTTGAATTGAAGAACTAGACAATTGGAGATTCCGAAAAAGGGCAAACCCATATATGAAAATTTCTATCGCAATATATAACAAAATCGAAAAGGAAACGAGACTGAAGGCATTATTTAAATCCATAATGGATTATTTTCTTTCATTGATTAGTAAATGAAACGTATAACTGTGAGATAGGAAAAGCTAAAATCTAATTTCTGTAAACAAGGACTTCCAGTTCTTTACTCTTGTATTATTCCCTGGCAATTCAAAACAAAACACTGTTTTTTTTTTTCTTTTGGTTCCTCTCTTGTCAAGAGTGGTGTTTGCGTCGTATAAGAAATTAATATTATGAATCCCTATCATAATAATACCATAAACACATCATTTCTTTGGGGCTATATGCCAAGTAGATTCTTTTTAGCCTTGAGCGGGATTTTGAACTCGTCGGAATAAAAAAAAAAAAAAAAACATGAAGAAGGCAACATAAAGTTTTCCCCTTCCATTACTGCTACAATATATTTGCAGCTGCTGCCCTCATTTACTTTTCAGTCTCGATAAGCCACAAGTATATCCGCGCCCTTGCCGGTGATGAACTATTTTCCAACCTACATTCATTTCTCTGGCAGAATAAACGTCGCAAACCTTTCGCTACACTATCGCTATTTCCATGAAAAATGGTCAAAAGAACTACTTGTAGTGGGCCACCCTAATTCCTTTCGTATTGGTGAGACCTAAGTTCCACTCGAGCAGCAGCTTCTCACGAACCGTTGCCTTAGATGTTCGCTCACAGTTCTCTCCTATCTCTCATGTAATCCATACGCTCAGTCTTCACTTTCCACTCTCTAAAATATTGGTTGGCATGCGAGTTGTCTGACACACAAGTAGACTAGTGAAGCCAACACGTTGGATAGCCCTGAGTCATTTTATGAAGAGATATATGGGTTAATAGAGTCCACTTTTGCAAATGTGTTGGGCAGGTCCATTCCAGCAAAAATGGGCCAACCCACCTTAGGTAATCTCCTATAAATGAGGTAGATTAGCTGACTTGCCTTTACAAGAAGGCAGTCGGGGCACCTCGGCGTGGTGTAATGGTTAGCAAGCTTGTCTTGCTAGATCAGTTATTACTGGAAAGTGAGTTCGATCCTCACCGGATGCCCCATACTTTCGGCCTTGTGCCACATTTAAGCTACGCTTGGAAAATCGTTACATGCTAACAGGTAAGTCATTTGACTTCTACACACTCTCGATAGTCCACAAGTGCCCCTGCGTCCTTGCGTGTGATTAATGGTTTTCCACCCTACAACCCCTTTCGTCACGTGCGAAAAGTCTGTGAAATACCATTATTGCTTACATCCGGAATAGATGTAGCTTTTTGTGTAAGTTAGGTTATATGATATTCATGCTTTAGAAAGCTTAATATCAAAAATGATAAACTTGCAACGTCTGAGGCAGAACTTGATGAAAAAACTTCAATTATCTGCTATGTCCCTTGCAAAATGTTTACGATCATGGCTCCTCGCAACTTCCTATCCTTTATAGCTCAAAGTAGTTTATCCATTCCAATTCTGCCATCAATTTTTTACAATCTCGTTTTGTAGTTCGCTCAAAGTTTCCTTCTATTTATTTTGCAACCCACATGCACTGTGAGTATCAAATTCTTCTAACCCCCTTTCCTCAGTATATGTCCTAGAGCAAACTCGAATTACCATGTTTTCACCTAGGTATGGAATCTTTATCGTTTTAGATTCATAACAGAGCAAATCTATCTATCTATCTATCTATCTATCTATCTATCTATCTATCTATCTATCTATCTATCTATCTATCTATCTATCTATATATATATATATATATATATATATATATAATTTCACTTATTCCAGGTTACATACATTTACACATATACCATTGGTGACGGTATGAATTCATTCACTCTCGGAAAATATAAGAATCATTCTTACAATCTAAAATAAATTGGGCTTTAAATGACGAAATGGGTTGATAAGCCATAAAAAACAATCACCCGGTTAAAACCAGCCCCTACCTAGCTACCATCTGCGAAAATTTGGTGTTTAGAAAAATTAATGTGGATCATTAATTCGTTCTTCTCTGTCTGGAAAACTGGCGCAAGTTTACTACTGTGACCTTTTGTGCACACACACACACACACACGCGCGCGCGCGCGACAATATTGTCTTCCTAAAGACTTAAACGTAATGTTCGCACGTTAAACTTCTAAAAGGTTAGTATTGTTAAACGCAGCTCCCCAGTAGACGTAGGGTTGGGATTTAATCGTATTTGTGATAATTATATGCATGAATAATTGAAAAAAGGGATATCCTAGTCAAATGAATAGAGATGGCCCTCAGAAAAATCCTAATAGAGTAAAACTTAAAAACGTATCTTCATTAGAATCAAGGGAAAGAATACTGAATTGTTATGTAATATCAGTCCCCCTATATGGCAGTGAATACGTAATATCAGTCCTCCTATATGGCAGTGAATACGTAATATCAGTCCTCTTATATGACAGTGAATACGTAATATCAGTCCTCCTATATGGTAGTGAATACGTAATATCAGTCCTCCTATATAGCAGTGAATACGTAATATCAGTCCTCTTATATGGCAGTGAATACGTAATATCAGTCCCCCTATATGGCAGTGAATACGTAATATCAGTCCTCTTATATGACAGTGAATACGTAATATCAGTCCTCCTATATGGCAGTGAATACGTAATATCAGTCCCCCTATATGGCAGTGAATACGTAATATCAGTCCTCCTATATGGCAGTGAATACGTAATATCAGTCCTCCTATATGGCAGTGAATACGTAATATCAGTCCTCCTATATGGCAGTGAATACGTAATATCAGTCCTCCTATATGGCAGTGAATACGTATTATCAGTCCTCCTATATGGCAGTGAATACGTATTATCAGTCCTCCTATATGGCAGTGAATGCTGGACAATCTCCGCACAGATGAAGAAGAGACTCGAAGCAACAGGAATCTAGTTCGACAGAACGATGCTTGAGAATAACATGGACCGAACAATTGAACAACGATGATGTTTTAAGGAAAACGGAAATATAATGGACACTTATAAATAACCTTCAGAAAGAGACATTTAAAATTCCTACGGCACATCATCAAGAAAGAGAGCTTGTTGAATTTGATAATTACAAGACACATAGAAGGCAAGAGACAGAGGAAAAAAAATACATACCCTACCTAGCGAGTTTGTGTAAATGGATGGTAGAACAAAGTTTAGGAGAGATAACAAAAGAAGCAAATTTATTAAGCGCTACAAAGGACATAAAATTGTGGAGAGGCATAATCACCAACATCCAACACATAAAAGAATATTCAACTCCATCCGCTAATACTTTGATTGGTACCAAATGAATTTTAACAATTTTAAAAGATAATTTCTATAACCTTCGCTAGGGCTTATGCCTTTATTTTTTTAACTTAATTCTATGCAGAATCGTTCAACTCGTAATATTTTTTCATGAACAGAAAATTTCAATTCTTGCCACAAACATTTGATTGGATTTAGATAATGCGATTGTGAATCTGTTCTTCTAAGACCATTCTGAGATGGCTGTCTAACTATGTTTCTGGACGACAACTAAAATGAAGCTGGTTTGTCTTCTTTTTTCCTGTGTCACATGAGTGTTCATAGCTCTCCACGGTTTCGTATTTTTTCTAGCTCTTAACGTTTGTCTTTTTATCATCGTTTCCGTCAGCCATTAATAAAAGCTTGTCATCGAAATTGTCTACAGCCTGCCTTTAACCCTTCTGCTTTTGTTATGTCCTGTGATTGTCACATTCTCCAAGCCCGTCATCCTCATTATATCTTGGACATTAATGTTCTCTCTTTTATTCTGGATATGAATCTAATTTTTTTTTCTTCGATTTTTCTTAAAATTCTCCGTTCCTTATAATTTCCGTCTATCCTATTCTAAGCATCCTTTTGTATAAAACTTTTTTCAGTCGCTTCCAGTTTTCACTTAATCTGTGAAAAATTGTCCAGAATTCACTACCATATAGGAGGATTGTAATTCACATAGCATTTCAGCTGTCATGTCGTTGTTTCTAACTAAATTGTCCTGCTCCAGAGTACTTAGCTTAGTTTTCAAGAGGTATTTTATGCTATTGCAACGCGTATTCAGATTTCGGTATTCCATTTTCAGCCTAAAATGGATTACTGTTGCTATATTTCAGCCCTTACTTTCCAGTCTTGATAAGAGTTAAAAAGCACCTCAGAGTCCTTGTTGGAGAGGAATTATTTCCAAACTCCAACCTCTCTCAGACAGGATGTAGCGTGTCTCTCAATGCTCTATTGCTACTAACATGGAAAGTGCTCGGACGAGCTACATTTCTTATTACCGCCAGGGTTAACCTTCACGGTCAGGACACGCAAACTAACCACATTCCTTTCGTATTCCATCATTGAGAAATCTGTTCATCTAAGACCAAACAGCTTCTTCTGTCGAACTACTGTTTGTGGACGAGACTCTCAAGAGGCTGTCTCTTTGTACGCTACAATCTTGTTCAAGTTTAGAGTTAAGCATTATCATCATCGACTATTCACATAAATTACCCCAGCTCGTAACGTTTACCTGTTGACCACCGTGTTTCGTATAGGGTGAACCTTACTGTAAAAAATCCTCTGTTAAAAGTAAATTATTACGCACATATTTTTAGTCACTTCTGATTGATTTTGTCATCACTTCGTCGTAGTTCACATTCCGGGCGATTTCTCTTTCTGATAATCCTACGTTCTCTCTCTCCTCACAATTGATAAATCTGTGATCAACTATAAAGTGGAGGGTTCGAACCAAATAAATTATTATTTTCACGAACCTATTTTTCCGTCCGAAGTAAGACGATAAACTACATCCAACAGAAAGACCTTTGATCAGAAGGTTTTGAGGAGCGTGAAACCATCTCTTAATTGATGGCGTTCCCAGGTCCACCTTGATCCAGGGTGGTAGCACCTGTTAGGGTCCCAGCTATAGATAAATAGTTAACCCCCAAACTGGGATCAAAACTCGTTGTTTGTAAAAATAGGTTTTAATACCAGAAACACTTTGTAAAAAAATTATTATCAACAATAAATGTTTGAAAAAACAATTATTACCAGCAATACATTTTAAATAAATATATATATATATATATATATATATATATATATATATATATATATATATATATATTCAGCTATACCCTTTTTGAAAAAAAAATATTACTAGTCTTTTTGAAGAAGAAATATTACCAGAAATAGATTTTGAAGGAAAATAATATTATCAGGCATACAATTTTGAAAACAATATTACCAGCGATAACAAATTTGTTGGCATAAAATCATGGAAGTATACCTAAAAAAAAACAAAAAAAAAAGAAACTAGACCGAAGTATCTGTCTATATTTCTGAGATGAGGATTCGCAAACTATTTATATTATTCGACTATTCCATCATCTTTCGCCAAATTCATTAAAATAAGTTCCCACACAAACGTCCTTCTTCAAGTGGTACTGAATGTAGAACTGACCCTTTATTTCTCTCACAAGGGTAGACTGATAATGGCACGTTGAACTAGAACAGTCTACCCTAGTGAGCGAAATAAAGGGTTCAGTTCGGCATTTAGCCAGTGAAGAACGCCATTATCAACATCGAAACTATTGTGATAAATATGGCGACAAAGATGAGGGCAATAGTCCGAATAATGTCAATAGTGTAAACTAAACAGAATCCATGTTCTTTTTAGTCCTAGGGTTTGTTACATACTGTTCTGTAAACGCAAAAATTGATATGCCCGCTCACATGTTGCGACAGTATTGATAATAGGGTGAAATATTTGACATCATGAGATGTATTATTCGTTCTACAAACTGTAACTCTTTTTAATACTTTAGTTTCCTCAATGTTAGGCCCAAGGTCCACGCAAGACAGTTTGACTATTTTAAGGAAGATGGTAAAAAGCGTATATTATGTGGATATGTACGATAGATTTCGAAGACATGAAGAGAGTACGATTTTACTCATCAGATAATTATCCTCTCATGAATCTGTTCCACAACGTAACAGGTGAAAAGAAAACGCTGTCTGATTGGAACTTTCTCCTTACTAAAAAGCACAAATTGAATGGGGTGATTTGTCACCGCGAAAATAGCATGTCGGACCCTAACTGTGAAAGTCAGAACTAGTGGGGCTAAGAAATGTAACTCGTTTGAACATTTGCCATCATAGAAATAGCGATTGATTAGTGAGACACTAGCAGTGTTTTGAATGTGGGATAAGGGTTGCTGGGTGGAGCATAATACATCAATCAGAACGGGGTGGAATTGCTTTTGAACTCTTTCGAGGCGAGACAACGAGGACTGACCAGCACCGACCCAGATATGACAGCAATACTCCATTCTTGGAGTGATCCGATACTTGTAAAGATTGAACATGGCTGATGGGGTGAAATATTTTCTAGTGCGATGCAAAGAACCGACCAATATAAGATTCCCATTTCAGGTTTGGAGTGATTCTTAGAGTCAATCGGTCTTCGAGGCAAGGATCCTTAGGGTAAGCTTGGTGATGTTAATCTGTTACTAGTTTTCTTTTTTAAGTTATTGAATGTCAAAAACATCTGTCTATTGAGCTCTTTGGATTTTTTTATATAAGAATTCAATTTTCATTTCGTTCGACCGATTAACTGGATTCGAGCTACCATTCGACTGATCCAAATATATTTGACAGAATGCTTAACGAGGCATTTTTATGTTTTCTTCACTGTTGGCCTTTTTCGTTTAGTGTAATCAACCCGTGAAATCTTTACCGGCTCAATGTTCTAGAAATTGTCGAGATGTCTATGCCTTTCCCGTATATATGACATATCTAGATATAGATTACGCTC